GAAATTAACTTGAACTGTAAACTTTCACTTAAACACAATAAAAAAAAGAGCAGGAGTGGTAATGGTAATCTCTGACAAAATAGACTTTAAAGCAAAATTCATCACAAAGTATAAGGAAGGACACTATATAATGATTAAAGGGTCGATACACTAGGAGGATATAACCATAATAAATATATACACATGCAATGACAAGGCTCCAAAATACATAAAACAAACTCTAACGGTACTGAAAAGAGAAACAGACAGCTCCACAATAGTAGTAGGAGACTTCAACACGCCACTTTCAGTGAAGGGCAGAACATCTAGAAAGAAGCTCATTAAAGACACAGAAGATCTAAATGCCACAATCAACCAACTTGATCTCATAGACATATACAGAACACTCCACCCAACAGCAACCAAGTATACTTTCTTTTCCAACGCACATGGAACATTCTCCAGAATAGACCACGTATTAGGCCACAAAGCAAGCCTTAACAGAATCCAAAACATCAAAATACTACAAAGCATCTTTTCTGACCATAAAGCCATAAAAGTAGAAATCAATAAAAGAAAAAGGAAAAAAAAAATCACATAAATGGGAACTGAACAACACCTTGCTCAAAAACTACTGGGTTACAGAAGAAATTAAGGACAGAATAAAGAAGTTCATAGAATGAAATGAGAATGAAAACACATCCTACCAGAACCTTTGGGACACAGCAAAAGCAGTGCTCAGAGGTGAATTTATAGCAATAAATGCACACATCCAAAATGAAGAAAGGGCCAAAATCAAAACATTAACCCTACACCTCGAACAAACAAAGAGAGCAGCAAAAGAAGCCCTTGGGCACCAGAAGAAAGCAAATAATAAAAATTAGAGTAGAAATAAATGAAACAGAGAATAGAAAAACAATTGAAAAGGTTAATAAGACTAAAATCTGGTTCTTTGAAAGGAAGAACAAAATCGATAAACCACTGGCCAAATGGACTAAAGAGAAACAGAAGAGAAAGCAAATAACTCGAATAAGAAACGAGATGGGTGATATCACAACAGACCCAATTAAAATGAAAAGAATCATAACAGAATACTAAGAAAAACTGTACTCCAACAAATTTGAAAACCTAGAGGAAATGGACAAATTTCTAGAAACACACTACCTACCTAAACTAACACAAACCGAAGTAGAAAAACTAAACCTGTGACAAAAGAAGACATTGAAGAGGTAAAAAAAAAAAAAAAAAAAACACCAACAAAAAATGCCCTGGCCCTCCTTCACTGGAGAATTCTACCAAACTTTCAGAGAAGAGTAAACACCAGTACTATTAAAGGTCTTTTATTTCAGAGCATAGAAAAGGATGGAATACTCCCAAACTCATTGTACGAAGCCAGCATAACCCTGATACCAAAACCAGGTAAATACACCACAAAAAAAGAAAACTACAGATCAATATCCCTCATGAATATAAATGCAAAAATCCTCAACAAAATTCTAGCCAATAGAATTCAACAATATATCAAAAAAATAATTCATCATGACCGAATGGGATTTATACCAGGTATGCAGGGATGGTTCAACATGAGAAAAACAATCAATCTAATCCATCACATAAATAAAACAAAAGATAAGAACCACATGATCTTATCAATCGATGCAGAGAATGCATGTGACAAATTCCAACACCCACCCATCCATGATAAAAACTCTCAGCAAAACAGGAATGGAAGGGAAATTCCTCGACATAGTAAAGGGCATTTATACAAAGCCAACGGCCAACATCATCCTAAATGGAGAGAGTCTGAAAAAGAGCATCCAAATTGGTAGGGAAGTAGTGAAAGTATCCTTATTTGCAAATGATATGATCTTACACACAGAAAACACCAAAGAATTCACAAGAAAACTACTGGAACTAAGAGAAGATTTCAGCAAAGTATCAGGATATAAGATAAACATACAAAAATCAGTTGGATTCCTCTACACCAACAAACAGAACTTCGAAAAGGTAATCACCAAATCAATACCATTTACAATAGCCTCCAAGAAGATAAAATTCTTAGAAATAAATCTAACCAGAGACATAAAAGATCTATACAAAGAAAATCACAGGACACTATTGCAAGAAACCAAAAGAGACCTACATAAGTGGAAAAACATACTTTGCTCATAGATAAGAAGACTCAACATTGTGAAAATGTCAATTCTACCCAAAGCTATCTACATATCAATGCAATTCTGATCCAAATTCCAACAGCATTTTTTAATGAGATGGAGAAACAAATCACCAACTTCATATGGAAAGGAAAGAGGCCCCAAATAAGTACAGCATTACTGAAGAAGAACAAAGTGGGAGGCCTCACACTACCTGATTTTAGAACCTATTACACCATTACAGTAGTCAAAACAGCCTGGTACTGGTACAACAACAGATACATAGACTAATGGAACAGAATTGAGAACCCAGACGTAAATTCATCCACTTACGGGCAGCTGGTATTTGACAAAGGCCTGAGGTCTGTTAAACGGGGAAAAGACAGTCTCTTTTAACAAATGCTGCTAGCATAACTGGATGTCCACTTGCAAAAAAATGAAATAAGACCCATATCTCACATCATGTACAAAAGCTAACTCAAAATGGATCAAAGACCTAAATATAAAATCGAAAACGATAAAGACCATGGAAGAAAAAATAGAGACAACACTAGGAGCCCTAATACACGGCATAAACAGAATACAAACCATAACTAACAATGTGCAAACACTAGAAGAGAAACTAAATAACTGGGAGCTCTTAAAAATCAAACACTTAGGGTCATCAAAAGACTTCACCAAAAGAGTCAAAAGACAACCTACATACTTGAAAAAACTTTTGTCTACGACATATATGATAAGGGTCTAATCTCTAAAATCTATAAGATACTGCAACACCTCAACAACAAAAAGACAAATAACCCAATTAAAAAAAGGGCAAAGGATATGAACAGACACCTCACCAAAGAAGACATTCAGGTGGCTACAGATACATGAAGAAGTGCTCATGATCATCACCCATTACAGAAATGCAAATCAAAACTACAATGAGATACCATCTCACCCCCAACGAGGCTGACACTAATCCAAAAAACACAAAATAATAAATGTTGGAGAGGTTGTGGAGAGACTGGAACACTTATACACTGCTAGTGGGAATGTAAAATGGTACAACCACTTTGGAAATCGATTTGGCACTTCCTTAAAAGGCTAGAAATAGAGGTACCATATGGTCCAGCAATCCCACTCCTTGGAATATATCCTAGAGAAATAAGAGCCATCACACAAATAGATATATGCACACCCATGTTCACTGCAGCACTGTTCACAATAGCAAAAAGATGGAAACAACCTAGGTGCCCATCAACAGACAAATGTATAAACAAATTATGGTACATACACACAATGGGATACTACCTAATGATAAAGAACAATGATGAATCTGCAAAACATCTCACAACACATAAATACTGAATACTAATAAATAAATACTAAACCAAAATTTGTGAAAGATTTATATTAGGAGGATCAGGGAAGGGGCAGCCAGGGGAAAAACATAATAGGATGTCAATAGATAAGATCTAAAAGGAAAAATCAAGATACAGCAATAGAAGCACATTATTTAGGAATGTAAAGATAAATACAAGAAACAGTTGAGACCGGTTCCCCCTGAGGAGCTATATTAAAGTTGGGAAGCAGTCAGGAGACTAACGTTTGCTGTTTTAAGCTTTTCAGTGCTATTTGTTACATACATATGTTAATTTTTAAATATATTAATTTAAATTAACTAACAAAAGAGAAGGCTACTACAAATTATTATATCCTGTTGCAATGGAATGTCATACAATCATTAAAAGAAGGAGATCATATTAGGAAAGACACCTGCAACCAAACATCCGGTATGTGCCACTGAATGAAAATAACAAAGCATTTCATGAAACAGCATAGACACACACACGTATTTATAAAGCAATGTCAAGAGAGATGTATAAAAACATTTTAACAGTGGTTGTATCTTATGGGAGGAACATCAATTTACTGTTTAAAATTTTTTATACCTTCCATATTGTTTCAATTTTTGTTTTGTTTTCAATGAGCACACTTTATCCTCATTAATAGAAGAAAGAAAAAGCTATCTTCATTAGGGAAAACTGTCATGCTTTGAGAATTGAAGTACTAGTGGTGGCTGATAGGGCATGGAGAATAAAATAAAGAATAGATCTTTGAAAGACTCTAGTTAAGAACTGAAAGATACTAAAAAACATGAATGGGCAGAAAAAAAAAGGAATGCCTGGTGAATAGAGGGGCATATATATAAACATAATCATGGGACAAACTTAGTAATTTAAGAGAAAACACAACTTAAGAAGTCTATAAATAACAGGGAACAAAAATAATTACTCTAACCACAGAAACAACTTAGGGAATTGTCTGTTCACAAGTGTCTTAGTTATCTAGTGCTGCTATAATAGAAATACTGTAAGTGGCTTTAACAAACAGAAGTTTGTTTTCTCACAGTGTAGGAGGCTAGAGGTCCAAATTCAGGGCACCATCTGCAGGAGAAGGCTTTCTCTCTCTGTCAGCTCTGGGGCAAGGTCCTTGTCATCAATCTTCCCCAGGTCTAGGAGTTTCTCAGCACAGGGACCCCAGGTCCAAAGGACGCACTCTGCTCCTGGCTCTTCTTTCTTGGTGGTATGAGGTCCCTCTCCTCTCTGCTCGCTTCTCTCTTTTATATCTCAAAAGAGATTGACTCAAGATACAACCTAATCCTTTAGACTGAGTCTTTCCTCATTAACATAACTGCCTCTAATCCTGTCTCATTAACATCAGAGAGGTTAGGATTTACAATACATAGGATAATCACATCAGATCACAAAATGATGGACAACAACACAATACTGGGAATCATAGCCTAACCAAGTTGACACACATTTTTGGAGGACACAATTCAATCCATAACAAGTAATGAATGAAAATATGGCTTCTTACCTGCTTCAGGGCAGGGGAACATGGGATCAGCTCTCCTATTCTGTTTATTCCAGCATTGATTTTCTTCTTTCTATGCCTCTCCACTAGACAGAGGGGAAAAATCCATTTATCAATTTTATACTATCACTGCTAAAGTGCCTCATTCTCCTTGGGTAAAGAAATTTTAGGTAAAGAAATCTCTAAGAAAAGTTTATCAAACAGTATCTACTGAAGACAAGTAACTATAATAAGTAAGATTTCTAAGAATGTCATATTTTAAGTCTTGTGTTATAGAACTATACACAAGCAGCAATTTATTGGCATTTTAAAGACTGCGATATATAATAATTAAATTCAAATTACAAACAGAAATTGCTAATATTATATTACAATTAGGCTGCCTTTTTAGTTCAAGTAATTACTAGAGATTTTAATGATAACTGAATCTCAAGAACTCACTAACAAGCTCGTTGTTGTTGTTAGTTGATATCAAGTTGATCCAACTCATGGCAACCCCACGTATGCAGAGCAGACTGCTCCATAGGGTTTTTAAGGCTGTGCCCTTTTGGAAGCAGATTGCCAGGCCTTTCTTCCGAGGTGCCTCTCAGTATGCTTGAATCAACAACCTTTTGGTCAGTACTCAAGCACTTAATGGTCTGAGGTACCTCTGGGTGGGCTGAAACCACCAAACTTTGCACCACCCACAGACTAACAAGCTAAGATGTTAGGAAGCTACCTCTTCGTGGCAAATTGGCAAATCAGACCGTTCTAGACTGATTTAGGAACCTTAAAACACCTTTTAAGTTGGAACAGAAACAGTTATTAGTTATGATTTAAAACAGACGAGAAATGGTGTCCGTTGGGGTTTTTTGTCCCTATGGGGCCTGGGCTGTCCACTTTGGCCACGTAGGATCTTTCTCATCTAAGAAACTGGGCAACTGACAACCTCTTACATAACTGAGAAATGCTCCAGACTTATGTGTTATGTGTCTTTAAGAGTGGTATGGAACGGGGAAAGAATACAAGAGATTATCTAAATCATTTCTATAAAACACTGTAAGTAGTAAACGTTATTAGTATTGGCTATTTTTTGTTAGAAAATTTTCTAAAACATTCCTTTCTAATAAAGGATTCCAGTGCTTTTAAGACTTGTTTCATAAAATATCAATTTTTTGCTTCATAATCTAGCAGTAAGGGTATCCTTTCAATAACCTCTAGTTACTCTCTAAGTTGCTGCCAGACATATTTATGGCACCACCTGATAATTCCAATAAAAAGATTTAGTTCATACAGCAAAAAAGATTACATTTATTTCATATGGCCAAAAAAGGAAAGCATAAAGTATAGTCTGCCTTTCCTCTGAATTTTCTAACAATAGATGTATAAAGGATATCTAGGAGCAGATTTTTTTTTTTAATTTTTTTATTGTACTTTAGATGAAGGTTTACAGAACAATTCATCTCTCATTAAAGAGTTAGTACACGTATTGCTTTACGACAATGGTTAACAACCCCATGACATGTGAACACTCTTCCTTCTTGAACTTGGGTTCCCTATTACCAGCTTTCCTGTCCCCTCCTGCCTTCTAGTCCTTGTCCCTGGGCTGTCGTGCCCCTTTAGTCTTGTTTTGTTTTATGGACCTGTCTTATCTTTGGCTGAAGGGTGAACCTCGGGAGTGACTTCATTACTGAACTAAAGGGTGTCCGGGGGCCATACTCTCGGGTTTTCTCCAGTCTCTGTCAGACCAGTACGTCTGGTCTTTTTTCGTGAGTTAGAATTTTGTTCTACATTTTTCTCCAGCTCTGTCCGGGACCCTCTGTTGTGATCCTGGTCAGAGGAGTCAGTGGTGGTAGCCGGGCACCATCAAGTTGTTCTGGACTCAGTCTGGTGGAGGCTGTGGTAGTTGTGGTCCATTAGTCCTTTGGACTAATCTTTCCCTTGTATCTTGTTTCCTTCATTCTCCCTTGCAGGAGCAGAATTTTAATGCGTGAAGGTAAAAAAAAAAATTAAGACTTTCTAGCCATAGCAATAAATGGGGCTTCAAAGGCAGTAAACTCTTCATTTTGGGGAACACCAATCTCTCCCCAGTGTACCACACATCTTTCCATGATAAAATTTTCCCAAGGGCCCTCTGCTGATGAGTGACAAGACCCCTAGAGAAAGTAAGCTATCATTTATAGAGTGATGAAGTTAACTTCTAAGATAATTTTTCTCGTTCTGACTGTGGTCTCTGATGAAAAATCAAAGGTTACCCAACATGCCCAGCTGTAAATAAATGCACTATTAATTCTGGCTTTGGTCTATAATTTTGATGTCTGAGATAAAACCAAATGTTTATTTTCTACATTCTTCCTATAATTGAAGACTCCACAACTTAATTTAGAACTCTTCACATTTGCAAGTACCCTTAGGATCCCCTGCCTGCTGCTCACCTCCTCCCCACTCTCCTAAGCAGCCAGCCACTTCTGGAGCTTCTGCAAAGACACATACTCTTCATTCTATTTAGAAGAAGTCTGGCCGTTCTCAGTAGGTGAAGTCATGTAAAACACTACATCCAGGGGTGCATTAATCTCTGGATTTAACTTATCTAAAGAGACTACAAACCAGAAGATGAGAAGCAAGCTATAATCTTAGGGGTGCTTTTGTCAATTAAAAACAAGATGGTAACAATTTTCTATAACACAATGAACAATGATTTTACACTTTATAACATTAAAACTTACAATCAATGGCAGTATGAGTTCATTATGAATGCAAACAAAGCTAGCAAATAAAAATTTAAATTGTTGTCTCTACCTGCATTGTGTGTCTCCCGGTTTTTCTTTCTGAAACAAAGTGTACATAAAAGGTAATATAAAAGTAACAGGAAGGCATTTTCATCACTTTCTATTTTGAGAACCATAAAAATAAACTTTATGAATTTTTATTTGTTGCATCAATAAGCATTTGAAGAAAAATTTTAATACATATTATGGTCTTAAAAATCCAACTGAAGATACATTAATATAAGTTTAGAAGCAACAAATTTTTATATACCTGGAAGTTATAGGTTGGGAAATGAATCTGTCATTGAATACTCTGATTACTTGAAAGCGTAATATAGGCGCTAGTAAAATCTCAAAGCAATGTGCCAAATAGCTGACCTGTGATCTTTCTTGAGCATCTCACTGGACAAGGGTGGAAGTGGGTGGGCAGGGAAGACAAGCGCCAGTAGAGAGTAGCCTGTAATCCCCAGGGAGGGAAATGTGGCAGCCAACAGCTCATATGCACTGACAAGTAGCATGCGAGCCATCTTTTGCACTGTGTACCTTAGGTTATCCACACTCATATTTTCTTAAATGCTGATCTGCTAAAAGCATTGATTTTACACACAACTACTTAACATAATAGCATACTCCAATAGCTATCTGGTAAAGAAACAGAAGAGTAATTTTAACATTAGTAGAACTTTGACCATGCGATTCTAAGCAAAAATACTGTCCCAAAATGCTAGAAATTTAGAAGAAGGATTAAACAAAGAACGAGAAGTAATACTGTGCTGATGTGCATATTAGCATTAAACCAAACCGTCATCAAGTCGATTCCAACTGACAGCAACCTTATAGGACAGAGTAGAACTGCCCCATAGGGTTTCCAAGGAGAGGCTGGTGAATTCCAACAGCCGATCTTTTGCTTAGCAGCCAAGCTCCTAACCACTGCAACAGCAGGGCTCTTATATTAGCATTACTGGACTATAATGTCAAGAAATGTCTATTCAAACTGACTAGAGCCTAAATGAACTTAGGATCTATAAGAATTAGTACTGTATAAGTTAAACTTCAGTAGAAACTAAACATTTAACATAGACTTGGTACCATACTATTTTAACTACTGATGATTATTCTTGATACATTGCTAATAGGGTGAGGAAGACAGGTAATTTTTAACTATATACCTCTTTCAGTAAGTGTATTTGTATTTATTCACACATATTTTTGGAGAGTAATGATCTTCTAGGCATCCAAATGACAGGTACCGAAAGACTACCCACTTAGCAACCAAAAACCAAACCCACTAAGCTTCTTATCTGCTCCAATTATATTATTTCTGGACCACAGATACATACCGGTGCTGCTTCTTGGTAGGAGTCTCATTCTCTGTCATTTCTGGCATGGTTATAGTGATAGGAACCTACAAAGGCATGGAAAGACATACCAGAGAGTGCAAAGTCATTCTAGAACTTTAGAAAAATTGATTAATAACAATTTAATTGGAATGCAAAAAGGCTGAAAAATAAAACTGACATCACAGAAACAGTACTAGAGTGGGTACTGTGGATAGAAAGAGGTGTAAGAAAACAGAATAAAAATTATAATTAGCACACATAGAACACCGTCAACATTAAATGTAAGGGATGTAAAGAAATGTAAAAAAGTGCTTGAGAAGATCAGAGGAGAGAAAGATCACTGTGAGCTTGGAAAAATAGCTTAAAGGGAATGTAGATTTGAGTAAGGCAAAGTAACAAGTACATAAACATGTAATGCTTCATATGTGGAGTCAAGCATTCATTCATTCACTCATTTACTACGCTTCTTTAGTTTCAACTGCCAGAAGTCTCAAGTTATCACTGGAGAGCGATTTAAATATGAGCATTAAAATTCTATTTATATTTAAAGTATCAGGACACTAAAAAAATACAGGCGCTCTAGGAAAATATACATGTGTAAGAAAAAGCCTGAAAGCAAACACACTAAAGAATTAAGCCTAGTTATGTAAGGCCAGTAATATTATAGGTTATTTCTTTCTCTTCTCTGATTTTTATAAATTTTTTTATGACAACTTTGACTGGCAAGCTTTCAAAAGTTGTCTGCCAAACTGGGAGTGCCTGTTCAGGTAAAATGGAGGAGCGGCAGGCGGGGCTCCCAATGTTCTCTCGGAGAGACAACAATGGCAGTAAGTGCAGAGTCTGAAGTCACAGAGCACGACCTGAAATCTGGCTCTGCCACTTATAGCAGTGAGATCCTGGACAAGTTCCATAAGCTCTAGGAACCTCAGATGCTTTCAGCTACAAGATGGGTCACAGTAATGGTAACCAGGTCATTGGGTTATTGCAAGAATGGAATAATGCAGGCACAGCAACACCACCATGCCTGGTATGTAATAAGGATTCAGTAAACATTAGCTATGATACTAATGAAATATTTCAGGGTAAGGCCTTAAGCGTGGACAGGAGGGGGAGGGGCCCTGGGAAATAAAAAGTGAATAAAGGCAAGGTGACGACAGAACGTCCTGACTGAAGCAGCCTGAGGAAAAACGGGCTCAAGACCCAATTCCAGCAGCTTGTTCCACCTTCCCCCTAACGTTTAAGAGGGTCCGACTCCGTCTAAAAGCAGCGCACTCACACTAGATAAGCACATAATGATAATGTGGGCCATGTAATTAAATTCAGAAAAATCCCTGTCACCTGTCTCACCCAAAGGCTTGCAGAATTTCTTCACTTTTGACTCCAGGCTCCCAACGCCTCCCGTTTCTGATCCAAATCTATCATATTCGGCCAGAAGATAGTCTATACGTTATGTTTTCTTCTTACTACACAAGAGAAAAAAATCAGTGAATGTTTACAGTCACTAGGTTTCTATTAAGTGCCCTGGTGGCGTAGTGGTTAAAGCGCTTGGCTGTCAATCTAAGGGTCAGTGGTTCGAATCCACCAGCCACTCTGCAGGAGAAAAGATGTGGCAGTCTGCTTCCATAGAGATTACAGCCTTGGAAATGCTATGGGCAGTTCTACTCTGTGCTACAGCGTCGCTGAGTTGGAATCTACTCAACAGCAACAGGCTTGTTTGGGTTAGGTTTCTATCAGCGGCACTTGGACAGGGGCTGGCAGCCTATGGCATGCAGGCAGAGGTTTAGCTGCATGCAGGATGATCCTGAATTCACCTCACCACTTGAAAGCAAATGAATACAGTTGCTTTCAACAGTCACTTTTCAATGGGTTACCCATGCCCCACCCCTGAAAGATGGTGGTCCTACAGTCAACGGCCATCCTTCCTGAGGTGATGATTCCCTCCTTTCTCTCATGTGCTCTCCCTGCCCCTTAGGTACCCATTGCCTAAGGTTACCCAAGATCCTCCACCTCGGTCTTATGCTGAGATCTGTCCTCAGCTTCAAAACTATTTTTCCTTCCATCTCCTACCTCCCTTCTCTCTTGTGCGAGTGACTGGAAGCTTACTCAGGGATTTTCCACCAAGGCAGTGACACTAAGACAGCCCCCAGACCTGTGCACTGTACTTGCTCTTGGAAATGTAGATCTGGGGGCCTCATCCCAGACTTGACCATGAAAAGGCCTGAGTAGGGCCCAGGAATCTGCATTTTCAACATGCTCCTTGGGTGATTATTTTTTTCAGGTGAGTACAAAAAGTTTGAGAAACTTTGCTCTAGTTTAGGGCAATGTTTCCCAAACATTCCTGATGGTAAGAATTAATCTGGAAGTACATGTTAAAAATACAAATTCTCAGCTCATCGCAGATCAACTGAATCTGTCCCTAAGGGAGGAATTCTCACCTTTAGGTGAGAGGTATGAGATGTAATGAGTGCCCCTGGTGATTCTTATCAGGAAATTTGCAAAAATGGGCAGGAAGCCTTAATTGGTGGAATTTCAGACATCTGATCAATACTCCACAATAGGAGAGATTTGCAATGTAGCATGTCAGCCAACCACTATTATTTTACCTACAAACCAGTAAAGTTAGACTTGCCCTCTACCCACAATATGAGTCAGCACTGGTCATTCATATCCCAGTTCCGGTCTTTCCCTCCAGCACATTTGCAAGTTTGGTGATAATTTCATGTTACAATTCAGATACAAAAAACAAAAGTTCTTATTTTCTAAACACACAGAATGGTAAAGCGAACGGCGGTAGAGGCCTACAGCATGCGTCGACGCCGTCATCGCACTCCAGTGAAAGCCAAGAGTTTGACGACTACAACTGCAAATCAAAATCACCCAATTTACCAAATGCCACTGTGAGTATCCATCTGAAACTACGTTACCCAGCTCAATTACACCCGTGTCCAACTCCCCGATACTAAAATTGCATTCTTGACGTTAATAAAAAAAACATCTATTAGAATAAAGAACCTTATTTTCATAAATCCTTGACCATCTACTAACCTACTAATAAAGAAACTGTACTTTTAATACAATATTTAAATACCTAGATACAAATAAGGGAGCCCTGATGACACAATGGCTAACTGAAAGGCTGGTAGTTCAAACCCACCCAGTAGCTCTGTGGGACAAAAGACCTGGCAATCTGCTCCTGTAAAGATTACAACCTAGAAAACCCTGTGGGGCAGTTTTACTCTGTTATTTGGGGTCAGTATCAGTCGGAATCGATTTGACAGTATGTAACAAAAACAACAAATACAAATCTATCCTTTAAAATATTTAAACTGGGTCATGAGTTTTTAAAGATTTTTGAAATATTACATTAATTACCTGGGAGTTATTTTTTATAGTGAAAAAGAATTATTTTTGGAATTAGTCAAACTTAGTGGTTCTCAAAGTGTGGTCCTTGGATGACTTGTATCAAAATCACATTTTTTTTAAACTATTTTTTTCCCTCAGGTAAAGCTTACATATAGCATAATGCACAAATCTTAAGTGAACATTCAGGGAGTTTTGACAAATGCACACATCTGTGTACACCAAACTCCTATGAAGACACATAACATTATACACTAGAGAAAGTTCTCTCATGCCCCTTCCCAGTCAATTCCTTCATTACCTCAGGGGCAATCCCTGTTCTAAATGTTTTGTCATGGAACTTTATACAGATGTCTTAATCAAGAATTCTTGTGTGTTAGGATTTCACTCAGTGTAAAATTTTAAAACCTCATCCAGTAGCTTATTTCTTTTTACTGCTAAGTAGTATGCATTGGAACAAGCAACATCATGATAAACAGAGAAAAGATTGAAGTTGTCAAGGATTTCATTTTACTTGGATCCACATCAACACCCATGGAAGCAGCAGTCAAAAAATGAAACGACGTATTGCATTGGGCAAATCTGCTGCAAAAGACCTCTTTAAAGTGTTAAAAAGCAAAGATGTCCTTTTGAGGACTACGGTATGCCTGACTCAAGCCATGGTGTTTTCAATCACCTCATATGCATGCAAAAGCTGGACAACGAAAAAGGAAGACCAAAGAAGAATTGATGCCTTTGAATTATGGTGTTGGCAAAGAATACTGACATATCATGGACTGCCAAAAGCATGAACAAATCTGTCTTGGAAGAAGTACAGTCAGAGTGCTCCTGAGAAGCAAGGATGGTGAGACTTTGTCTCATGTACTGTGGACACGTTATCAGGACGGACCAGTCCCTGGAGAAGGACATTATGCTTGGTAAAGCAGAGGATCAGCAAAAAAGAGGAAGACCTTCAACAAGATGGACTGAGGAGGTGGCTGCAACAATGGGCTCAAACACAGCAACAATTATGAGGACGGCGCAGGACCAGGCAGTGTTTCATTCTGTTGTACACAGGGTTGCTATCAGTTGGAACTGACTCGACGGCACCTAACAACAACATGGTACTGTATGAATATACAACACAGTTTACTTATCCATTCTTCTGTTGATGGGCACCTGGGCTGTTTCCATGTTTTGGCTATTATGAACAAAGCAACAATGTATATCTTCATGTCTCTTGGGTAAATATCATACATCCAGCAGTTCTACTCCTAAATATTTACCCAACAGAAAGGATGAAATATATCCACAAAATGACTTATACAAGAATAATCACCACACTTTTCTCTAGAGTGGTTATATATTTTACACTCCCACTCACCAGGTAGAAAAATTTCAGTTGCTCTACATCCTCACCAACATCTCAGCCTATTAATTTCAGCCTTTCTGGGAGGTATATAGTGGTATCTCATTATAGTTTTAATTTGCATTTTTCTGATGACTAATCATATGAGCCCCTCCCCTTTTTTTATGTGCTTAAGGCCATTTTTAGATTTTTAAAATTTTTTTCTATTGTACTTCAGATGAAGGTTTACAGAACAAACTAGCTTCTCATTAAAAAATTAGTATACATATTGTTTTGTGACATTGGTTGTCAACCCCACCAAAAGTCAACACTCTCCCCTACCTGACTTTGCGTTTCCTATTACCAGCTTTCCTGCCCCCTCCTGCCTTCTCATTCTCACCCCTGTGCTGGTGTGCCCCTTTAGTCTCATTTTATTTTTTGGGGCTGTCTAATCTTTGGCTGAAAGATGAACCTCAGGAGTGACTTCATAGGGTGTCCATGGGCCATACTCTCGGGGTTTCTCCAGTCTCTGTTAGGCCAGTAAACCTAGTTTTTTTTTTTTTGGAGAGTTAGAATTTTGTTCTATACTTCTCCCCAGCTCTGTAGGGAACCCTCTATTGCGATCCCTGGCAGAACAGTCAGTGGTGGTAGCCAGGCACCATCTAGTTGTGCTGGACTCAGTCTGGTGGAGGCTGTAGTACTTGCGGTCTATCAGTTATTTGGACTCATCTTTCCCTTATGTCTTTTTCTTCATTCTCTCTTGCTCCAAATGGGGTGAGACCAGTGGAGTACCTTAGATGGCCACTCACAAGCTTTTAAGACCCCAAACGCTACTCACCGAAGTAGAATGGAGAACATTTTCTTCATAAACTATGTTATGCCGATTAAGCTAGATGTTCCCTGAGACCATGGTTCCTGCAATCCTCAGCCCAGTAATTTGGTCCCTCAGGGAGTTTGGATGTGTCTACGGAGCTTCCATGACCTTAACTTGGACAAGTTGTCCTGGCTTCCCCAGTATTGTGTCTTACCCTTCACCAAAGTTACTGTTTATCTATTGTGTATTTAGTGTTTTCCCATCCCTACCCCTCCTCTCCCACGTAACCATCAAAGATTGTTTCTTTTCCTGTATAAATCTTTTCATGAGTTTTTATAGTAGTGTTCTCATGCAGTATTTGTCCTTTTGTGATTGACTTAATTCCTATTGCTTGTGGATTTTTTTTCATTTCTTCTGTTTTTGTAGGTTTTGTTTTTACTGAGACTTTATGTTTTTCTTCTTTATTTTGATGAGTAGGTTTGTTAACTTTCTTTGTGGTTACCTTGAAATTTGCCCTTTCCTAACCTTGAACTAATCTTTTATTATTTGGTATTGCCTTGATTTCCTCTCCATTTGAAAGTTCTATACTTACACCATTTATTCCCTCTTTTATTTTTCTGATGTTGTTGTCATTTACAGATTAACCTCCCTGGTTCCTTGTTGTAAATCTTTTAGTTTTGATTTATCCTTCAGAGTTCACTACCTAGGCTGACATCTGGCTGATGCAGTCTTGTGTCCTAGATTCAGGTTGTCATCTGATGTTGTTGGTTCTCTAACCAAAGAACTCCTTTTAATAATTCTTGTAAGTTTGGTTTGGTTTTTACATATTCCCTTAATTTCTGTTTATCTGGAAATGTCCTAATGTCACCATCATATTTGAGCAAGAGTTTTCCAAGATATATTTTTCTTGGTTGGCAATTTTTTTTTCAAGGTTTTATATATGTCATCCCATTGCCTTCTAG